GGCGCGCTCCGATCCTGGGGAGGGGACGCTGCGGGGCCCGGCCCCGGAGGAGCACAGGGACGCAGCTCCGCCGCGCTCCCTCTGCCCCCCTTCCCCTCCCCTAGCACCTAGCAAGGAGGAAAACGCTCAGGGGGGGAGGGTTAGGAGGCAACGACTGGGAGGTTATCGTCGGAAACGCTCAGGGGGGGAGGGTTAGGGGGGAGGGGGGGAGGGTTAGGAGGCGACTCCTGGGAGGTGTTCGTCGGAAAGATCAAGGAGGATGAAGCTCCACTTGGGAGCTATTACGCCGGAGTGGGCCTCGGATGAAGCGGGATTCAGCCGGATCAAGCGGGGTTCAGCGGGATTGAGCCGGATTGAGCCGGACTTCGGACCAGTGCAACATCCGAATTTGACCTCCCAGGAGTTGCATCCCAAGGAAGGGTAGGGAGGGGAAAAATATGGAGCTGTGTAGACGTTCGACTCCCACGGCACTCCCGGCGGCAGGGCGGAGCAATGCTGGGTGGGCCGACGCCTTCCGTCCCCGCGCCCGTTCCCGCCGCCCCCAGGAGAGCCGAGAATGAAATCGATGAGTCGGATAGGCGATCGAACTGCATCGGATCAACGGAAATCGGCAGCCAAGTCGGGGGCGCTCGAGTCGTTGGACATCGGCAGGCCAGCCAAGCCTCCGCTGAGAAATCGCGGTCCGGGTCGGAGCCCCCGCGCCGAGCCGCATCGGAAGCGGGAGCCATCGAGGTCGAACCGACTCGATGGGGAAGAGTCCGAACGAGCCCTGCGCCCCGCCCTCCCGCCAGCCCTGCTCTGCACTCCCGCCACGTCCCCCCCGTGGGCAGCGAGCGCGCGGCAGCACCCCGGGAGGGCTCCGGAGGTCCCCAGGCGTCGTCGGGGGCAGGCCACTCCAGGGGCCGGCAGGAGACCGAGGAGAGCCAAACACACGTCCCTACACATCGGGGGGGGGGGGGGGGGGGGGGCGAAAGAGTATCACTGCCACGCCGCCGCGGGGGGCCCCGGGGCCCCCATCGGCGTGCTACTATCGATGCACGCCGTCTTTCCTCGGGCGCAGAACCGAGGGGGTAGCACGCCGATGGGGCCCCGGGGGCCCCTGCGGCGGCGTGGCATTGAGATTCTCCACCCCCCCGACACACCCTTTATCGACAAGGGAAAGACATGCCACTGCCAGGCGCGTCCGGAACGTCCCAAACACAGATCCCCACTCAAAACCACCCCGATGCCACAAAAGCCAAAAACATGTGTATACATATATATATATATATAACAAAAAAAAACTGACGACAAAGACATCCGACGCACTGCCTCTTGCAGTCCGCGGAAACCCCAGAGGCCTGGTCCCCTTGCCCAAGAGGGGCACGAAAACTGCCCCCCTGCCCCCTGGAGACTGAATAACGCAAGTGTCGCAAAAGCGAGGGGGGGGAAGCAACTGTTGCTGCTCCGACCGATCCCCAGCCGATCACGCGAGGCGAGATCCCCAGGAAGCACCGGCACACTTTGGGCCCAGCGTTAGGTCGGGCACGTCCTCCTACAAGGGGAGATTGGGCGAACCAAAAGCTACTCAATGAGTGGGCATGAGTGAGAGAGACTAAGAACGGGTGGGTCTGAGTGGGAGTGAGTCCGTGTGTGAGCGAGTCTGAGCGTGTGTGAGTCGATGTGTATGAGTGGGAGTATGGCTAAGCATGTGGTGAGTGTATATGCATGTCAGTGGTCTGGGTATTCGAGTGTAGGTGCGTGTGTGTGTGTGTGTGAGTTGTATGAGTGTGAGTGGCGTGAGTGTGAGTGTGAGTCTGATTGTGAGTGAGTCCGAGTGTGAGATTGGGCACATATGTACAACACATAGGTTTCGAGACCAGTAAACCACATAGGATTCGAGCCACAGGAGAAGGGCAATACATAGGCACATACGTAAAACCAGCAGGTGGGGTCGGCATGAGGACCTTCTGAGGCCTCCTGGGGCCTCCAGGGGGCCTCCTGGGGTCTTCTCGGGCTTCCTGGGGTCTCCTGGGGCTCCCGGAGCATCCCGGAGCCTCCAGGGGCCTCCAGGGGCCTGCTGGTGCCCACTTGGGTTTGTAGGGGCCTCCTGGGCCCTACTGGGGCCTCCTGGGGGGTACTGGTGCCTCCTGGAGTTTCCTGGCGTTTCCTGGGACTTCCTGGGGCCTCCTGGGGCCCCTTGGAACCTCCTGAGGCCTCCTGGAGTTTCATGGGGCCTCCTGGAACCTCCTGAGGCTTCCTGGGGCTTCCTGTGGCCTCCTACGGTTTACGGGAGCCTCCTGGGGCCTCCTGGGCCCTCTCTAGGGCTTCTTGGGGCTTCACCAACACAGGCAAACCACCTGAGACATCCTCGCAATCGGGGCCTTGGGAGTGCTGAAACCAGCGCCTCGCCTGAGACATCCTCGGAAACTGCTCCGAAAGAGAAGGATGCTGGGCACACAAACAGGCAAACCGCCTGAGACATCCCCCAAATCTGGGCGCGAACAGGCCCTTGATATACCCCCTGGCGCCCCCCTTGGGAGTACTGAAACCAGCGCCTCGCCTGAGACGTCCTCGGAAACTGCTCCGAAAGAAAAGGATGCTGGGCACCCAAACAGGCAAACCGCCTGAGACATCCCCCCAATCTGGGCGCGAACGGGCCCGTGATATCCCCCCTGGCGCCCCCCATTGGAAATGCTGAAACCAGCGACTCGCCTGAGACGTCCTCGGAAACTGCTCCGAAAGAGAAGGATGCTGGGCACCCAAACAAGCAAACCGCCTGAGACATCCCCCCAATCTGGGCGCGAACGGGCTTGTGATATACCCCCTGGTGCCCCCCCTTGGGAGTACTGAAACCAGCGCGCCTCGCCTGAGACATCCTCACAACGTGTGTGTATGTGTGTGTGAGTCTGAGCGCGGAAGTACCAGGAGTGTGAGTGAGTCTGCATATTAGTGATCCCGAGCATGAGACACCTGAGCATCACGAATCTCAGAGCGAGTGCGTCTGAGTATGAGTGAGTCTGAATGTGAGTGAGCCTACATGTGAGCGGGTCAGAGAATGATGGCCCGAGGGCGGGAGGCGCACTCGCTCTCCGCGCGGTCTGAGTGCTGACAAGAACCCCATCCTGTTTTAGGGTGTGGGGGCAAAATCGTCCCCATAGCATGTCTGGACTCCTCTGGAGTACTCCTCCTGCAGAGGGAGGCGCCCGACTTCAGCCCGGCGGGCGCGGTGTGCAGCCGTCGCGCGTCGAGGGCGCGAGGCGGGTCCCCCACGGAGCGCCGGCACACTCTGGGCCCGGCCGCCGCGGTACGCCAGGGGCGTGCGAGGCGGGCCGGGAGCCCCCGCCCTTGCATGGGACGACCTGCAGCTAAGTCGGGCCTGTCCCCCTGCAGGCCGATGTTGGACGAAAAACTAGAAATACCCCAAAAATACTCTGAAGATGGCCAAAAATAGTCAAAACAAATAGTTCCCTGACTATTTTCTTACTATGTTTGAACATTCCTCCTGTAGAGGGACAGGCCCGACTTCATGCAAGGGCCTTGGACGCCCATGCCGAGGCTCTTCGAGCGGGGCGGGCCTTCGAAAGTGGTTGAGGGTGGGCCGAAGATGGCCGAAGAGGCAAGGATGCAGGGGTACCCTTGGAGAGTCGTTCATCCTTACTGTGCGGGTTGACTGTACCAGACCACCCCAACCCAACCCAACCCGACGACCCGAACTTCGCCCGAACTTCGGGTTGGGGGGGAAAGGGCTTCAAATGTGTTTTTCAATGTTCCCCGCCCCCCCCCCACTGGAGATGGAATGCAGATCGGGACCTTCGGGTTGGGTCGGTGTGGTTCTTGGTGGGCGGCGAGCTCTCAATCTGACGACCTGAACCTGCTGGGTGGGACACGAAAACGCCGATGCCCGGGAGGGCGTGGCTGGGCCACCCAGCTGAAACGTCGTGTCGTGCGCGATGTTGTACACCCGGATCACGCCGTCCAGCTCCCCGCTGCCCTCCTGGGGCCGGAGCCGGGGCGCAGCCCTGCCCTTCCAGGACACCTCGAGGTCCATCTCGTAGTAGAGGGCGCGAACGCCCTGGCGTCGAGGGCGCGCCGTCGGGAGGAGTGAGAGGGGGCAGGCCTTCTCAAAGGGCCGCGGGGCGTGCGAAAAGCCCGCGCGCCTGCTCATAGGACCCCCTGGGGCTTCGGAGAAGGCCTGGAAAGCATCCCAGAAGGCCCTCCTCCTCCTCCTCCTCCTCCTCCTCCTCCTCCTCCTCCTCCTCCTCATTCTCCTCCATTTCCCTCCTCCTCCGCCTCCCTCCGCCTCCTCTCTCTCCCCCTCCTTCCTCCTCATCCTCCTCCTCCTCTCCTACTTCCTCCTCCTCCGCCTCCTCCTCCTCCTCCTCCTCCCTCCCCCCGCCTCCCTCCTGCCTCCTTTTCTCCTCCTTCCTCATTCCTCCTTCCTCCTCCTCCCTCCTCCTCCTTCCTCTTCCGCCTCCTCCTCCTCCTCGCGTCTGAGAAGACACGCCCGCCGACGCTCCCCGGGGTTCGGGGGGAGTCCGTCGGCGTCCCCGGCGGCAGCAGAGGCAAGAGTAGGGAGCCGAATTCTATGTGTGTATATATATGTGTGTATATATATATATATATATATATATATATATATATCCACGCACACACCGACGCTATTTGCGGCCTTGCACCCCAGAACCCCTCGCGCTGTGAAAAAAACACGACGGGACGTTTTTCGCTATTTTCGGCCTCCGGGGGCCCTTACCGGGCCTCGGGACCGTCAAAAAACGATTCAGGATGAAGAACCGGTCCTGCGTGGGGAAGGGGTCCAGACCTCTGGAGGTCGACGTTGTGAAAAAATCGCAACGCCGGGGGCCCTTACCGACGTTTGGTGCGGCCCGGCACTGAAGTTTACACAGGAGTGCGGGCACCTTTTATATTATGAAGAAAATCCTGGAGACCTCGCGCGGCAACTTGAGACCCGATTTACGTCGGATCTACGTCGGATTCACGTCGGATTCACGTCGGACTTACGTCGGACCGACTCCTGAGCATCGCCGCGCGAGCGTCGGCCCATAGCTGACGGAACTGACAAGTGGACTAGATCCTACTACGGTTACGCGCCGCGCGAGGCCTCCACAGGACTTTCCTCCTAGTTTATATCCATATATACACTGCGTCTTGGACTTGCTGGAAAAGGGCGACGACAGGCCGCGGCGCGGCCGATGCGGAGGAGGGCCTGAGCTCTGTGGGCGAGACTGTTTTTTAATCCATATCCGCGGCGCCTCTGCTATCGGAGGAAGGCTATGAAGAAAATCCGATTGAGACCTCGCGCGGCGGCTTGAGGCCCGATGTACGTCGGATCTACTTCGGATTTGCGTCGGGTTCACGTCAGACTGCGTCGGATTTACGGAACTGACAAATGGACTAGATCATACTACTATTACGCGCCGCGCGAGGCCTCCGGGATTTTCCTCATAAGGAAGGGCGCCCAAAACTCCAAGCCCGCAAGCAAAGCGGATCCTGGTGCATGTATACAAGATCCTGGTTCATACATGTTTCGCTGGCTCCTGGAAGACGGAGAAAAACTAGTATACACCACACCGACCCCAACATCGTCCCCGACCCTCTAAAAGTCCTCGGATTGACAAACAGCCCGCCACCGGTAATGTACATGTTCCAGTTTCCGACAAGGCCAACCGAACCGACCGTGGGGCCGCAGCAGGCGAAAAAACGACGGACCGAGAGCAGCCCACAAAGCAGCGGGCGTCTCAATTGTTTCGAGCCGGGCGTGTTCGCCTTTTTTCCTAACCCGGTGACACCCTTACAGATCGATCCGGCTTGACAAATGACGCAGAAAGATGGGGTCTAGGGCTGCGGGCGTGATGTTTGACGATGTTGCATTTTTCTCGCTACGTCGGATTTCAGGGAAGAGTGAAGCCACAAGTTCCGTGGTGAAAACAAAACTGGCCATGGCTGGGAAAGACTGGCCGAGGCTGGACCCAGCCCCAAACAGGTGGGTCACGGTGGCCAGGCCTGGAACGTCATCGAAGAAGCTTGCCGGCGCTGGAAGGAATGCACGGGCTGGCCCCAACCACTTTGGGGAAACGCAAATGAGCTGATACCGCTACTCCACGGCCCTCCTGGTGTACGTTCTGACCAGAATTTCGAGGCGAATCCGGCGGAGGCGACGTGGGCATCCCAGCAGGCCGAAATTCCAACATCGTTGATGAGTCTTGTTTTTTGCACGGGTCCTCCTCTTCCTCCTCCTCCTCCTCCTCCTCCTCCTCCTCCTCCTCCTCCTCCTCCTCCTCCTCCTCCAGGGCCAAAAACTGCCTCCAAGGGCCGAAAGCCTGCCGCGAGGTGTCTGCGCTGCCCAGACCGGGGGGTCCGTCGGACCAGCCTTCTTGGTGGTGATCGAACACTCGACCTTGGACTTGTCGAGGAGCTCCACGGTGTCCAGGATGCAGCCGCTACCGCCGGTGTGCCTCCGAGAGATGGGCAGCACAGTGTTAGGAGGCAACTACTGGGAGGTTTTCGTCGGAAAGAATAATGAGGATTAAGCCCCGTCTGGGAGCTGTTACGCCGGAATGGGCCTCGGATCAAGCGGGATTTAGCCGGATTAAGCGGGGTAAAGCGGGATTAAGCGGGATCAAGCGGGATGAAGCCAGACTAAGCCAGACTTCTGACCACAGCAAAATCAGAATTCGACCTCCCAGAAATTGCATCCGAAACAGTGGATCATGTGAGGCGAAAAATAGCACCGATGCCGCTATTCGCCCTCCCCTGCCCCCGAACAGGGAAAAGCTGCACAAACATAACGCGGAGCTGACGGGTCTGCGCTGGACCCCCTGGAGGGGGGTCCAGCGCAGATCCAAGGAAATCCGCGTGGGCATTCGAAAGTGTGTGTGTGTGTGTGTGTTGACGTAGCTTGTTCTTCTTCGACTGCCCCCTGCCAGGGGGCGGGGCGAAAGAGAAGCGTCGCCATCGACCTGGTCTGCCCTCGCAAACATGCAAACCCAAAGACTGTCAACTCTTCCGCACAGGTTGTGTTCATCGTGAGCGAGGGGGGTAATCACCAACGTCAGACATCACAACTCATAAATGTCCAATACCACCATTGTTCGATGCATTCACGTGCGCTCCCTGCTGACACAAACTTCACCCTGGTACTGACCAGACACCAGCGACAGCATACACCTTGGTTAATCCGCGAAGATATCACAAACCGGCGGTGGAATGACGCGGGCGAGGCGACAGATCCGAAGCGAAACCACGTGATGAGGATGCCCACGATGTTGAATATCATGCAAAGACCAAATAGTGTCCTCCCTGCCAAGCTTACGACGCGATGACGTCGATACGGACGAAGCCCAAAGCCCGTCGTCGACACCGACGACAACGGTAAAGACAAGGACGATGATGTTCACAACACGTGAGGGCGGCCGGGACGCAACAAACAAAATGCGATGATTCATGGAATGATGCGATGATTTATGCAATGATGCTGGCGAGAGAAATGAGGATGACGTCGGACTGCAACTAGCAAATATACTTACTCTGCAAGCCGTACTGGGTAGCAAATGTCAAAACTCCACTTCAACGAGAAAACTTCTGGGTCTATGAATGGCGACAGGCACTCAAACCAAGATCCGTGCTAGTGAGCTGCGCTGCGGCGCTGCGAATCAAAGCACTGTGGGCGGAGGAGGAGGAGGAGGAGGAGGAGGAGGAGGAGGAGGAGGAGGAGGAGGGGAGGAGGAGGAGGGGGAGGAGGAGGAGGAGGAGGGAGAAGGGGAGGAGGAGGACGAGGAGGAGGAGGAGGAGGAGGAGGAGGAGGAGGAGGGGAGGGAGGAGGAGGAGGGGAGGAGGAGGCGGAGGAGGAGGAGAGGAGGAGGAGGAGGAGGAGGAGGAGGGGAAGGAGGAGGAGGAAGGAGGAGGAGGAGGAGGAGGAGGAGGAGGAGGAGGAGGAGGAGGAGGAGAAGGATGCTCCGGGGCCCTGGGGGCTGCCGCCCACAGACGGCTCGGGACGAGCAAGGCTGCTGCCGGGCAGAGGGGGCCCGAGGCATGGGGCCCCTTTCTCCCTCCGGAGGTTCCTTCATGGTAGGGATCTGCGGCGGGCGAGGGGGGGGAGTGAGAAGGAGACGGCCCTCTCGGAAGGCGGCGGGGCTTCTCAGAAGCCCTGGCGCCTTCTGGGCAGTTGCTGCTCTGTTCTCGGGGGAAGGCTCAGAACAACTGCTCGGAAGGCCGGGGGACTTCCGAAGCTTCTGAGAAGGCCTTCTCCTTCTGACTTCCTCCCCTCGCTCGCCGCCGATCATGGAGGAGCCAAAAACCAGGTGTGCACGTACGCCCTCCGCGGTCACGCGTGCACGGGAGGTCGTGTTCAAACGCAGGCGGGCGGAGACGGACTGCGTGCATAGGAGGCCTTTTAGATGGGGTCGGAGTAGATGGGGTCGGAGGGTCGCGAGCATCAACGATGCATCGGCGAGGCATCGGCGATGCATCGGCGAGGCATCGTCGACGTCGGCGACGTCGGCGATGCGGTGCGACCCTCCGACCACATCTGCTCTGACCCCACCCGGGAGGCCCAGCTACGTGCACATGGGCTGCTGCCCTCTGACACGAGGATACGCTGGCCTCGGGACCTGTTCGCTTCATGGCGGCCCTGCCCTCCCTGGAAGAACTCACCTCATGAGCTATGGTGCTCCCATGGTACCTAGGGACCACATCCAGAAAATAATCTCGAACACCCAGAAAATTAGCGCAACAATGTCGAACGAGTATCGCCTCCCGGGGCCCGACACGTGAAAACCCTCCCGTTTCGGTACTTTCCTGGTGCTCGAGATTCTGGCTGGTGATCAGAGCTAAAGTAGGCGGCTGGAACATCATAGCTCACGAGCGTCGAACCTTCGGAATCTCGCGCGGATGCCCCCCTCCCCGGCGCGCAAGAGCGCCGCCACGGGCCCAGGGATGCGCGCGGGCCTTCGAGAGATTGCACATGCTTGCGCCGTTTTCAATTTCGCCCCACTGGGCGAGCATCGGGCCGCGTCCGATCGCCTGGAAATAGAGGAGAAAGAACTATGCACATACACCGATTCTGGCCAGACCCATCCTGAGCCCAGGATCGGTGCATATGCCCTCTTACCTTGGCCAGGAAGGCATATGCACCGATCCTGGGTCAAAGGATGGACGTTGTCAGGATCGGTGCATGTGCATATTTCTCTTCGCCCGAGGAAAGCGAATCGAACTCGAATCGGATCGGGCCGGAGCGGAGCGCGCCGAGTCCGCCGGCCGGCGGGCGAGCGGTTCCCTCAGGAGCAGCGCGGGTGGGCCGGGGCCCGTGCCTCGCGTGCGGTGGAGGAGGGCGTGATCCCAACCGTCCCGTACTGATCGCAGGCCTCGTCCACAAACCAATGCTTGGAGGCTCCCCCGGCGGTGTGTTGTCGTATAGAATGTGGTATGTGGCCGCACCAACGACTGGGTTGTCCACCAAGTGTGCGCCGTGCTGGTCGGCACACGGTCGGACCGGGACGGGCCCTCCTTTCCCCCCCCACCCCAGAAGGGCGCGCGCACGGGCGCGCCTGAGGCCCTTCACGGCCTCGGCGACCTGCTTCCGGGTCCAATGCGTCCAGTCGCGCTCCGCCAGAGCCGCGAGCCCCCACTGGGGGCCGCCGCAACGCGAGCGATCGGGGAGCTGAATTTTTATTTTTTCGCGGCGGTAACGGGCGTAACGGGCGTGATGGGAGGGGAGGGGGCATAACGTAACGCCCCCGCCCCCATCGTGACAGACTGTGGTACCAGATGCACTGCGGCGGTGCCGGGGAAGCACTGGGGGGGGGGAGCGCTGCGCTATGGGGGGGAGGTGTGGGGGGGGGGCCGCAGGGGATGTGTCGACCCCTACTCCAGGCTTCGTGGTGTTCTCGAGCGGACCAGAAATCTGGGGCAGAACCGAACTCGGTGATGTTGGACGGGCGGGCGCCCATCCTCGATAGGAGTGCGTCCGATCACCCCCCCGGAAGTGTATCCCCGAGTTTCCCTCCCGTCCTGATTTGTCGTTGAAACGTCGAAGGTTGGGGGCGAGAATTCGCCTGCGACGAGGGGGGGGGGGGGGATAACGGGATAACGCGCGTTATGGTCCAGGGTGTAAAAAACACTCTTGAGGTCGGTTGGGAGGCAACTACTGGGAGGCTTTCGTCGGAAGGATTTACGAGGATTAAGCCCCATTGGGGGGCTGTTACGCCGGAGTGTGCCTCGGATCAAGCGGGATTAAGCGGGATCAAGCGGGATTAAGCGGGATTAAGACAGAGTAAGCAGGATTAAGCGGGATTAGGCCGGATTTCGGACCAGGGCAAAATCAGAATCTGACCTCCCAGGAGTTGCATGCGAAGGTAGGGTACAGTCAGCACGTATAATAACAAGATGCACTGTGGGTATGCAAGGGTCTTGGAAGGCCACGTCGAGACTTCTTGAGCGGGGCGCGGGCCAAGAACGGGCCGACAGGAAATGATGCAAACGTAACCTTGAAAGTCGCTCATCCTTAGTATCCGCGTTGACTGTAAGGTAGGGCTCCACTGAGACCAAAGGTCAGAGGACCTGCAGGGCAGCTTTTAATACATAGGATGATTAAAGACATAGGACTTTTAATACATGGTTAATGTATGAATAAATGCATGCATGGACTCATCGTCGTTTTGAATACTACATCCCTGCATTTCTAATACATGATCCGCACGCGGAGCATGTATTAAAAACGGCACTGTATCCGTGTTGGCTGTGAGGTAGGGCTCAACTGAGACCAAAGGTCAGAGGACTCGAGGAGAGGCGCTTTGGGGGTACCCACCCACAGCAACACCTCGGCACTCCACGACTGGGGGGGGAGCCAACGACGGGACCTTTCGGCGGCCGTCGGCACACGTCCGATCGCTTACGCGGGGCACGGGGAGGGGGACGAGGCGGCGGCGAGCATCAAGTGGTCAGGGCGTCAAAGTGGAGCTAATCAGCGGCGACCGATGGGCGGCGTGAGAGCGCTGTCCCCGCCGATGTCAAACGAGCAACCATCCCTCGAGCACCCATTGCTCACGAGGCCCTGGCACCGGCAGGCCCTCTGCAAGACAGATGGCTGGAGCAGACGGATGCGGGGCAACGACAGTAGGCACAAGAAAGCATCAGAGTTCGGTCGGGCATGTCCTCCTACAGGCGGATTTTGGAGGAACCAGAAAAACAAATGATATATATATATATATATATATATTATTGTAATATATATTATATATATATATATATATATATATAAACAAACGAAAACAAAAACAAAAAAAAAAAAAAAACACGCCCCCTGACTATCTGTTCGCCTATTCTTGAGAATTCCTCCTGTACAGGGACATGCCCGACCGAACATCAGAGATGGGGACAGCTGCAGAAGCGCAAGATATGTCGGAGGTCTGGGCGGCCTTCGTGGATCGGCGCCGGCTCCCCGCGAAGCGTGCCGCGGGGGGGGGGGCCGCCAGGGGCGCCGCCAGAGAAGTTTTCTGCGATCCGAAAATCCGCCTGGGCCGGGGTGCAGGCGGGGGGGCTCGGCACTCTGGACTTGAAAGGGAGGAGGGCGGGGGGAGGGAAAGACGATGGGGCACGGTCGGGCGGCGAGGGGGGGGCACGGTCCGTCGGAGTAAGGGGAGGGGGCGACGGGGAAAGAGGCGGGTACGGTCGGTCGGAATGAAGGGGGAGGGGGGCGGAAGGGGGAGCGGGCACACCCAGCGCACAGTCCAGCACACCACTCCCAGCACAAATCCCATTAGACCCACACATCACAGCATACCACACCCAGCACACATCCCAGTACACCCACACATCCCAGCACACCCAGCATACATCCCAGCACACCCAGGGGGGGCACAGTACACCCACACATCCCAGCACACTCAGTACACTCCCCAGCGCATATCACAGAACATCGCAACACACCCATACATCCCAGCACCCCCAGCATACAGCCGAGTACGTCTGCACATCTCTGCACACCGACCACACGAGCCAGCACCCCCAGGGGGGCGCCACGGCCAGCACACATCCCAGCACACCCAGGGGGGCCACAACACACCCACACATCCCGGCGCACCCAGCACACGTCCCAGCACATGTCCCAGCACATGTCCCAGCACAGCCACACATCCTAGCACCCCCTGCGCACAGCCGAGTACGCCCACACATCTCAGCAATCCGAACACACACCCGAGCACTCCCAGGGGGGCGCCACGGCCACGGCCCAGCACACCACACCCAGCACACATCCCAGCACACTGGGGACGTCCACACATCTCAGCACACCGAGCCCAGCACACCGAGTCAGTACACCGACACATCCCAGCACCGAGCACACCGAGCCGGTACACCGACACATCCCAGCACACATCCCAGCACACCCAGGGGGGCCACGGCCAGCACATATCGCAGCACTTCACACCGCACCCATACATCACAGCACACCTCCCAGCACGTTTTCCAACACATCACAGCACGCCCGCACATCTACCCCCAGCGCACACCGACACATGCCAGCACACATGGCAGCACACCCAGGGGGACCACGGCCAGCACGTATTCCAGCAAAACACAGCACGCATCCCAACCCCCAGCGCACATCCCAGTACGTCCGACACATCCCAGCACACGGATCCCAGCACACCGAGGCATTACACCGATACATCCCAGCTCCCCCAAGCACAGTCGGCAGGTCGAAGTATGCAGTGCGAGATCACACCGGTAGGTATGGTAATAATTGATGTTACGAGCCAACCCAGGAGCAGCAATCATTAGCTCCAATGTGTCAGCAGACCCTTTGGACAACGACCAAGCCGGGACCTGGGTGGGCGTCCTCCTTCATCCTCCTCATCCGCCTCAGCGTCAACCTTCTCTTCCTTGGAATGCTGATCATACTCCGTGTGGGGAATGCGTATTCCTGAAAAAGGGAAGAGATTGAAAACCGCCTCAAAAATATGCGTCATGATCCTTGGTTGGCATCCCAAGTGGAACTGAAAAAATTGATTTGACAAGCCAGCGCCTGTGCAGCAGTGACCCCGCAGATTGGCTCACGCGTGCCAACTGCGCTGTCCGAGATGCCTCTCGGGGGCATCTTGGAAGAGGTTGTCGGTCGGGCTCCCCTGCACTGTTTTGTTTGATTATTACTGGATATTCCTCCTCTGGGGGGACATGCCCGACTGAAAAGAAGTTTTGAAAACTCTCTTGGGGTCTCTTGGGGGCCTCTTTGAGGGCCAGTGCGGGCCTCCTTGGGGGCCTCTTTGGGGTCTCGTGGAGCTTCTCGGATGCCCTTTTGGGCCCTGCTGGCGGTCTCGGGGGGGCATCCCGGGGCGGAGAACTTAAGGTCAGCCCATGCTTCCCCTCTTGGGGCTATCTTGGGGCCTTGGGGCCTGGCTGGACCGTTGTAGTAGCTTCTTGGGCCATCGTGGGACCCTCTTGGGCCAGCCTGGACCCCCTTGGGGGCATCTTGGGCTGTCCTGGGGGCCCGTGTGGTCGTCGCTGACGGAGCGAAGACACACACACACACACACACACACACACACAAACACACACACACACACAATGATCGCCTTCGCCCAGAAAGGAAGGGGACGGTGTTTGCCTCCTGGGCCCTCTTGACGGCCCTCTTGAGCAATCCTGGGGGCCTCCTGGGCCGTTTGACACGCTTCGTGGGCTGTCTGGGACCCTTCCAGGCCATCTTGAACCGGGCTGGCGGGCGTCTGATCGCCCTCGGGGACGACCTTGGGCCCTCCACGCAAGGGCCCAGCCCCTTTTGACCCCGCTCAGCGCCCCTCACACGGGGACTCCACTAACGGGTACTTTGGCCAGTGACCCAGCGAACCCAACCCTTACCGATGTGGGCAACGCTGCAATGCCAGAAAAAGGCCCTGAAGTGGCAACTTTCGGCAACATTTCAAAGTGCCCGTTAGTAAGTACCCGTTACGGTGCCGTTGACCCGCTGGGCTAGATTCGGTAACGGGGAACTGTGTTCCCCCAAGCCCACGGGCCCAGAAGCCCGTCATATTCTAGAAGGCCGCCCCGAGTCAGCAGCGTGCCCGCCATACACTGCACACCGACCCTGGCAGTGCCCACCCTGCGCCCAGCATCGGAGCGCATGCCCGTGCAGGGCGCAAGAGCTCATGCACCGATCCTGGACCGAGGATGCGAGGCGGGGGTGTGTCCACATCCACCGCCTGAGCGTGAATCCTGAATCCTTATTCAGGAGTCTTGAGTCAGAAATCGGCCATAAGGAACCTTAGAAAAGAGCCTGTGCTAAGGTGCCGTTACTGAAGGATCCTTAGTAAGGTATCTGAAGTAAGGCAGGCTTAATAAGGTATGCTCAGAAAGGAATGTCTGCCGAGAGATCCTGAAGAAGGAATCCTGAGCCACGAACCCTGGCGAAGCACATCCTTACGAACGATTCCTTAACAGCGCCTCCTTAGAGAGAATTTCTCAGTAGGGAGTCATCAGACGTCGTGGAACCTCCGCAGGCAGTGCATGTGGACATCATTGGGCTCCGCGGGGGCCCGAGCAGATCCGCAGCCACCGCCCGCGGAGGTCTCCGCAGAGAGACCCTCCGAGCGGCGGTTGTGTGTCGGCCCTGGCCCGGGACCGTGTGGGGCAGAATCGGTCGCTGAGTGCTCGAGCATCAGGCAGTGGCGAAGCGTCCCGGCTCGCCTGTTCGGCCCACCAGGAGACTGTTCTCATATCCTTGTGCGGTTTCCACGGGGTGTTCTTGGAACATGCCTGGCTGATACTGTCTTGCTTTTCCTGCATCGGGTCTATGTAGCAGGGGATCGACTACAGGAGTGATCTGCCCCAAAATTGATTTCCCCGTCGAGCCTGTGAACATTGCGCAGAATGCTCCCCTAAATCTGCGAATACTCTACGCATCGTTCGTAGATTTGATTGGGAAACCGATTCTGGGGTGAATCAACTCTGTACTCGATCACCGACTCGAAATGAGCATACAGTCAACCCGTAGATCAAGGGTGCGCGATAAGGATGCAAGGGCCTTGGAAGCCCATTTCCAGGCTGCTCAAGCGGGGCGCGGCCAGCGAGAGTGGCCCAGGATGGACCGAGGAGGCAATGATGCAAGGGCACCCTTGGGAAAAGTGTGCCCATCCTTACTGTGCGGGGAGCTTGTTTTTTTATTGGGGGGGGTAACGCCCGTTACGGGGGGGGGGGTCCGGCCCCAAGTTGGGGGTAACGGTAACGCGCGGCGGGGCCCTCGCACGGGCCCTGGTACTTATTACCAGCACAACTGTCGGCACGGTAGGCTTCGTCGTCGTCGTCGTCGTCGTCGTCGTCGCCGCTGTCGTCGTCCGACCGCGGGCGAGTGGGCGCACAGCCTGCGCGGCTAGTCGCCGCTCGGGTTCAGCGGGCTGGCGGCACCTGGCGGCACCCCCCCCGCGCGAGCGAGACCTGCACCCCCGCTGGCCCCTCCATCTCGGAGTGGGCCGGGGGGGGCAGGGGGAGGAGGAGGAGGAGGAGGAGGAGGAGGAGGAGGAGGAGGAGGAGGAGGAGGGAGGAGGACGAGGAGGAGGAGGAGGAGGAGGAGGAGGAGAGAAGGAGGAGGAGGAGGAGGCGGAGGAGGAAGAGGGGGGGAGGAGGAGGAGGGGAGGAGGAGGAGGGGAGGAGGACAAGAATGAGGAGGAGGAGGGGGAGGAGGAGAGGAGGAAGGAGGAGGAGGAGGAGGCGGAGGAGGAAGAGGGGGAGGAAGAGGAGGGGGAGGAGGAGGAGGAGGAGAAGGAGGAGGAGGAGGGAGGAGGAGGGCGGCACATTCCTGTCGCAGCGATGTGGGGCACAGGTCCAGCCCCTGCCAACGGGGCGTTGGTGAACGGGCCGTTCAACGAAAGGTGCGTCTTCATGGAAAACTACTGATTTGCCGCGCATGAGTGCGAGGTAGACCCCCCCGCCCAGAGTTACGATGATGTATCGACGTTGTTGTCGTCACGACGTATCACGCACCAGTGCGAGATAAATGCCTTGTCGCCCCGTTTTTGCTTGAAGAGGCCTCTCGGCTACCGCCCCGTTTCCTAACGCCCCGTTTGCAAGGGGCTTGGACAGGGGGAATGAAAACGACGGGACCGCGGATTCGGTGCTTGCACACCCACGCGACGGGAAAAAGGGGGGCGGGCACGGAGGGAGCCAACGGGGGGAGACTGTTCAGAACATGAAGTCCCTCAACACGTACGCAGCACCCCGCAGTTGCGGATACGGGTGAGGGGGCGGCGGGGTCGCTAGCACTCTGCGATGCTCCGGGGAAGCCCGCCGCAGGCGCCGCCTTTCGTCCAAGCAGCGCGGGTTGCTTGCGGCTGGGTTAAGGGTGGGCCAACAACAACAACAACAACAACAACAACAACAACAACAAGAAGAACAACAACACCAACAACAACAACAACAACAACAACAACAACAACAACAACAACCATTTTAAGGCTGTACGCTCTTACTTGCCCGCGAGTCATTCAACACGTATACCCTACACCCTCGATACCCGCCCTCTTTGTCTTCGATCACACCCCTTTCGGGGGGATTATTTCTCTTTGCTGGGGCCGGCGGGCTTAGACGTACGGGCAAACCGGAACGGGCGGACAATCCTTCGGGGGCGTACATCTCTCTGCCCGCCATTGGAATTGGCGCGGGCCCTGCAAGAGGAGGAGGGGAAGAACGAGGGAGAGTGGGAGGAAGGGGAGGGGGAAGGACGAAGGAAGAGGGAAGATACCACGTTGTGAAGGCGTCCTTGGCGCGCGCGTGGTTCCTGAGCGCCGAAACGCAATTCCAGAATAATTTGTGAGGACGTCGCACGCGAGAGCGCAGTCCTGAGTACATTGTGAGGAAATCTCGGGCGGAAGCGGGGGCCCTGACTAAGTTGCGAGGAAGTCTCAAGCGGGAGCGCCGTTCCTGAGCAAATTGCACGGAAGTCTCAGGCGGGAGCGGGGGTCCTCACTAAATTGCGAAGAAATCTCAAGCGGGAGCGCCGTTCCTGAGTCAATTGCGCGGAACTGTCAGGCAGGAGCGGGGGTCATGAGGAAAATTGGAAGAAGTCTCAGGCGGGAGCGCCGTTCCCACATAAATCGCACGGAAGTCTCAGGCGGGAGCGGGGGTCTTGATTACATTGCGAGGAAGTCTCAGACGGGAGCGCCTTTCCTAAGTAAATTGCGCGGAAGTCTCAGGCGGGAGCGGGGGTCATGAGTAAAAATCGAAGAAGTCTCAGGCGGGAGCCGTTGTTGTTGTAGCCCGGGGGGCAGGGGCACAGTTTGAGCAGGAAGACTTTACTTGAGAAAAAACAAAGTGCGAGCCCCGGGGGTGGCACTTCAATCGACAAAAAAACAATGTGCACCGGTGGGGGGGGATCAACAATAATTATTATTCCAGAGTGACAGTTCAACAACAACAACAACAACAGCAACAACAACAACAATTACTAGCACGTGGGGACACTCCGTTCTCACCAGTGCCAGGGTTTTCATACGACGCCCGCCAATACCCCCACTTTGTGGGGGGGCCGGTTCAAGCTCTACCACATTTCCAAACGACTCTTCGCCACCACCCACACCCAGCTTCCCGCCCTATGACGTTCGGACACTTCACTTCGTGGCCTGCGGACGACCGTGGCTACTACACTGGCAGGCGCGCGAACGCCGTTGAAAGAGCTTGCGAAAGTAGCTCGCGCGAGCTCATGTAACATAAATGTTGAAAAAAAAACCTTGGTTTTTTAGGATTCGGACAGCGCGCGCGGGTAGAAATTTTGAAAATTCGTACAGATGTTTTTCGAGGACCTACGGTGCGATTCGTATGATTTTATGTTGCGCGGTGCTAAAATTCCTAAGAAACCCAATGGTTTTTGAAGATTTCGGCGTGCGCGCGCGAAGAAAAAACGAATGTGTCCCGCATGGTATTATTTGACAGGGATGATGGCCCTGGCAGGTGCGCAACCGTTGTTGGAGAAGTTCGTGAAAAAGTTGCTCGCAAAAGCCCGTTTGACAGAAATGTTTAAAAAGTGTTGGGTTTCCTACGAATCCGCAAGAGCGCGCGGGATGAAATTTTGACATTTTTTTTGACAAACCATTGGTTTTTTGATGTTTTTATGTTAAAATCGCTACGAACACTAAGGTTTTGGAAGGATTTCGTCTTGCGCGCGCGAATGTCCACTTTACCTTATTTTTTGCAAGGGATTCTTGAAGTTTGGTTATGCTAGAACAAGAAATGTCCACTTTAGCTTATTTTTTGCAAGGGAAAACGGGGGACAACAAAACAACCGGATCTGGACACCCACGTTTTGCCTGAGACTTCCTCACGAAAATGATGAAAATGTGGCTGCGGCCTAGGCGCGGCGAGGGGGCCGCGCACCAGGGGCCCCAACAATAATTATTCTTTAGAATAAATAATGTTCAACAACTACTACTCCTACGACTACTACTACCACTCATACTAATACTAATAATAATCACAATAATAATTCTAATAATAATAATAATGATAATACAACAACAACTACAAATACAAATACAACAACTACTACAACTACAACTACAACTACAACTACACTTACAACTGCAACTACAACAACCACCACGAGAACCGCAGCAGCAACAGCGACAACAACAGCTGAATTTACTAGCACGTGGGGACACTCCGTTCTCACCAGTGCCAGGGTTTTCATAGGAGGCGGGCAATACCCCCACTTTGTGGGGGGGCCGGTTCAAGCTCTACCAAATTTCCAAACGACTCTTCGCCACCACCCACACCCAGCTTCCCGCCCTATGACGTTCGGACACTTCACTTCGTGGCATGCGGACGACCGTGGCTACTATTCAGGGCCCCGCGGCCGACGACGACGGCGTGCGCGCGCGAAGAAAAAACGAATGTGTCCCGCATGGTATTATTTGACAGGGATGATGGCCCTGGCAGGTGCGCAACCGTTGTCGCAGAAGTTCGAAAAAGTTGCTCGCAAAAGCCCGTTTGACAGAAATGTTTAAAAAGTGTTGGGTTTCCTACGAATCCGCAAGAGCGCGCGGGATGAGATTTTGACAATTTTTTGTTGAAAAACCATTGGTTTTTTGATGTTTTTATGTTAAAATCGCTGCGAACACTAAGGTTTTGGAAGGATTTCGTCTTGCGCGCGCGAATGTCCACTTTACCTTATTTTTTGCAAGGGATTCTTGAAATTTGATTATATTAGAACAAGAAATGTCATTTTCTATTGTTTTTTGCAAGGGAAAGCGGATTACAACAAAACAACCGGATCCTGTACACACCCTCTTTTCTGAGGCTTCCTCACGAAAATGATGAAAATGTAGCTGCGGCCTAGGCGGCGCAGGGGGGGCGCGCACCAGGGGGCCCAACAATAATTATTCTTTAGAATAAATAATGTTCAACACCAACAACTACAACAACACCAGCGACAACAACAACCAGCACAACAACATCAACAACAACAGCAACAACCATGTTGCCGTGTCATTCATTTTGCAAACCCCAAACACTGGACACCCACCCTATCACACCCCTTTTTGGTGGGTATATTCATTCCCTGCCACGCGTGGTTGGTGAAGCCCTCTGAAAACGAAGGGCAACAGATAACGGGGGAGAATGAGAACGGAGGGACACGAGGGAGGGAGGGGAGGGGCCAGAAGGAGGGAGGGCGATGATTTGCGCGGCGGGTGGCGCTGCCACTTACGCCATGGTTTGCGCCAGCCACTCCAACACAGGTTAACAATAAGTTTCGCCATGGGTCGCGCCATAAACAGCGGCACGCACCACCCCCTTTGAAAGAACAGATCGTGGATACCCCCACGGGGGGACGCACAGCTGCGAACAGGCGTCAGAAACAAATTTCGTGGAACCCTGATAAGAAGCGGGATGTTGGGAGAGTGGGGCGGCAGGATGACGAGAACTGCAACCGCGTCGAGAGGAGCGCGGGGACGTGGAGTGGATTGGGGTGGAGTGGGCAAGAGTCGGGCCCCAGGAGGAGGAGCGGCAAAGAGTGGAGAAGAGGAACCGGGAGGAGTGCGGAGGAGCGGGGGGCGCACGGGGGAATCTGGACGAGGGGCTGGGAATAATTTGGGAGAAATGCGGAATGCGAGCGGGAAGGGGTGGAGATTGTTGGTGTGGGATGGGGTGGCCTGGGGGGGGGTGGGCAGAATGCGAAGAAGTGAGGAAGAGCACAATGGAGTACGAACGACATGAAAATCAAGATAAAGGGACAGAGTAAAAAAGATTTGGTAAGAACGTTGAAAAGTGGGGGGCAGGTGGATACGAGCGGAAACCGGTGCGGAAACAAAGCGCGGGGGGATGAGAAGGAACCCGAAAGCCTCCTGTCACCTCTCGGGGGCCTCGGAATGGCCCCGATGACCACCGAGCAATTCCAGAGGAAAACCTACGGGGACGCAGGCGGGAGCCGTTGTTGGCGCGGGCCACGAGGGGCGCGAACGAGCGGGGGCCCCGAAGGGCATACGTATAGGGGGCCGCAGAGGGCAGCGACGGAGCCGCTGAGGGCAGAAACGGGGCCACGAAGGGCAGAGAGGGGGCCACGAAGAGCGACAGCGGAGCCACGAAGGGCATGCATATGGGGCCACGACGGGCGCGAACGATCGTGGGCCACGAAAACCAGACATATATTGGACCAGAAAGGGCGACAGCGGGGCCACTGAGCGCAGAAAGTGGGCCACGAAAGGCAGCGAGGGGGCCACGAATGGCGACAGCGGGGCGACGAAACGCATGCGTGTGGGACCACGAAGGGCGCGAGCGAGCGGGGGGCCACGAAAGGCAATTAATCCGGGGCCACAGAGGGCAGCGACGGGGCCGCTGAGGGCAGAAACGGGGCCACGAAGGGCAGAGAGGGGGCCACGAAGGGAATCATGCTTCCACCTTGGCCCATATCACGATTTACTTGGGATTCGCGCTGTCGCTCGATACATCCTCGCGATCCATGCGGTAATCACGCTTCAGCAACCCGCCTGTTCGACCTGGCCGCTTGGGCCCGCCTTCCCGACCCGCCCGTTAGAGTCCACCCGCCTTCCCAGCCCGCCCGTTAGGGTCTACCGTATTCCCTTTCCTCCCCCCCCCTCCTCTGGTTCCTCCTTTTCCCCATCCTCCTCCTCCTCCTCCTCCTCCTCCTCCTCCTCCTCCTCCTCTTCTTCTTCTTTTTCTTCCTCCTCTCCTCCTCCTCCTCCTCCTCCTCCTCCTCCTCCTCCTCCTCCTCCCTCCTCCTCTCCTCCTCCCCTCCTCCTCCTCCTCCTCCTCTCCTCCTCCTCCTCCTCCTCCTCCTCCTCCTCCTCCTCCTCCTCCTCCGCCTCCTCCTCCTCCTCCTCCTCCTCCCCCTCCTCGTTCTTATTCTCCTCCTCCTTTTCCTCCCCCTCCTCCTCCTCCTCTTCCTCCTCCTCCTCCTCTTCCTCCTCCTCCTCCTCCTCCCCCGCGTGCTGCCCCGTGTCATCCTCATCCTCCCCCTCCGCCTCATCCACGTCGTCCTCTCTTTCTCTCTCTATCGCTCTCTCTCTCTTTCTCTATTTCTTTGTGTCTGTTTCATATATATATATACATACATATATAAACACACATATACATATATGTATATGTGTGTGTTTCTCTCTCTCTCTCTCTCCCTCTCTCAACGCCATGCGGCGATTCCTTATCACTCCGCGCGCCGGGGGCGCGCCGCAGGCGGATGGCGCGGGGGGGGGGGAGCACACCTCCGGGGGGGCTCGCTTCCATATGTAAGGCAAGGGGGAGCGTAGAGGCGAAAGGGTATAGGGTGAGCGACGGGGCCACTCAAAAATGTCGATGATGCCTACAACGCGTTTGCGAACAAGACGTAGTACCTTGCGTGTTACAGTTTACTTGTACACCCTTGTCCGTAACGCTGTGGTTCGTTATCTTCTCTGGGCTCAGGCAGGCCAACCTCGCCGTTGTAGGGCAAACAGAACATCGAGAAACGCTTCGTATTGAAACATGTCGAAGAAGACTTGGGTAGCCCCAAAATGGCCCTCCGCGGATGCGACACGCGACATCGCACAGCCGCTCGAACGCGTTACTGTTTTGCCGCATGGTGCCATGTCGGAAAATGTGGGCCCAGTATTAGCACATGTTGCCGAATTTTTGCTTAGAGCAGTGGCCGTAAATCTCCAGATTACCTGTCCTGGCGCGAATATTGGTCGTTCCACTTCGGTATGCCCATCGCTCGGCATCTGCGCCAGATGGGCCCAGGACCCCCTCTTGGCCGTGGAGGGTCGGGCTTACTTGGCCGTCGAAGGCTAGTCCTCGTAGCTCGCTGGTGGCTCTCGTAGCTCAGCTCGCGGTCCTCGTAGCTCAGCTTGTGGCTCTGCTATGCTTGAGCAGGGACCGGCCGTCCTGGCATTCCTATAATCCCACCACGAAACGTCCTTAGAACCCAAAAATATTCGAAACACAAAAACTAGATTCTTAGAACATAAACCCGATGTGATAAAACAAGACAGACTCCGCCAGAAATGTTCCAAGAACACTTCGTGGAGACCACAAAAGGTTCTTAGAATACTGTTAGGTAGGCCTATAGGCGAGCCAGGACGCTTCGCCACTGCTTGACATGCTGGTGGCCGTCGTAGCTCAGAATAGGGTCCTCGAAGCTCTTCTGGTGGTCCTGGTAGCTGAGCCGGTGAACCTCGTAGCTCAGTTCGCGGTCCTCACAGCTCTTCTGGCGGCGATCGTAGCTCGGCCTGCGGCCCTCGCAGCTCACTCTGCGGTCCTCGACGGCCCGCTGGGGGGCCCAGTGGCTCGGCTGGTGGCTGTACTAGCTACGCCGATGGTCCACGTAGTTGAGCTTGTGGGCCCACAATGTCCGCTTGTGGCCATCGCAGCTCTGCCGGCTGATGCACCCCGTAGCTCAGCTGACGGCGCTCACAGCTCCGCTCGTGGCCCTCGAAGCTCAGCTGGCCCACGTGGTTCACCTGGTGATCCTCGTAGCACTGCTCGTCGCCTTGGCAGCTCAGCTCGCGAACCTCTTGGCTCAGCTGGTGGTCCTCGTAGCCCTGCGCGTGGACCTCGTAGCTCAGGCTCTCGCAACTGCGCCCACAGTCCTCGTATCTCAGTTCACGGCCCACGAAGGTCCGCAGCTGCGCCCGAAGTCCCCGTATCTCAGTTCTCAACCATGAGGGCTAAGTCAGTCACTCTGGCGGCGGCGGCCAGCGGGCCAGGGCCAGCCCCGCTGATCTGGGGTCCCCAATGCGGGGGGAGGGTCCCGCAGATGGTCCTTCTCTTCCTCCTCCCCGTCCTCCTCCTCCTTTCCTCCTCCTCCTCCTCCTCCTCCTCCTCCTCCTCCTCCTCCTCCTCCTCCTCCTCCTCCTGCCCCGTGTCATCCTCATCCTCCTCTTCCTCCTCAACCTCCTCCTCCTCGGAGCGGGCGCGCGGGGCAACCCGTCCCCGCCGCAGCCTGGCTTGGCCTCTGGGACCTCGAGGCTGGCGCCCTGCATGCGCACCTGCGCCGCCTTGGCCTCGCCCTCCTCGCACGCCAGGGGGGGAGGGGGGCATCAGATCAGATGAGGGGAAGGTACACCTACCTCTCTCTTTCCTCGTTTTCCCCTCTTTGGGCCTCCCGGGAGGCCCTCGTCGCCACCGCCGGGTTCGCCTCGGAACCCTGGTCAGAACGCATCCCGGGAGAGGTCCGGATAGTAGCGGTACCGGTACCTCTTGGTTTCCCCAGAAGAAAGAAATGAGCGGCTCACGAGCTGGGCCCAGTAGCGAACAGGGACGAGGGGAAGGGGCGGGCGGAAGCCAGGGGAGCGGAAGGAGGGGAGGGAAGAGAGGTAACATGACTAGCCCAGCCTCGAACATGTTCCAGGCAGCCAACGCTCGGTCTCTCCGAGTTTGCTCCTCCTCCTCCGCCTGTCTCACTAACAACGCAGACCTCAGCGCGCCAGGGGCATTCAATGGGGAGGAGAGGAGAGGAAAGAGAGAGGAGGAGGAGGAGGAGGAGGAGGAGGAGGAGGAGGAGGACGAGGATGCGGTAAGCTCAAGGGGAGTGGCGCCTTCCTTCCTAAGCGGGGGGGGGCGTCTTGGGCCGCCTGGTTCAACGTGCGCCCTGGCTTCAGACTCCCACCCCGGAGCAGGAGTGTGCGCCGCGGCGACGGCGGCAGCATGGGCCGGCGCACGCTGGGCGGCGGTGAGGCCGCCGAAGGCAGCGCGCTCTGCCTTCAGTGAAGTCACTGGTGCAGGGCGATCGCTGGGCCTCTCCTTGCTCTGGCACGTCGTATCGAAAGTGGCGGGGGCTTCTCTTCGGGACGGGGCCCTCTGCAATGGCAGGGACCCTGGGGCTCCCGTCTCTCCCAAGGGGGGGGGGAGCGGGGCCGATGGCTGTCCCAATGGTTGTCCGATGGTTGTCTCGACGATTGGCCCATGATTGACGCTGTAGTTTGTCCTACGGGCTTCCCGATAGTTGTCCCGTGGTTCTCCCGGAACCTGGCCCAATGGTTCCCCCGATGGTTATACCGAAGCCTGCCCCGCGGTTGTCCCGTGGGTTGTCGCGAACGTTGTCCTCTGGCAATGCTGTGGTTGCCCCGTGGTTGTCGCGTGATTGTGGCTTGCTTGTCCGCTGGCTGTCCCATCATTGTCCCATGGTAGTCCTGTGGGTGTCCAGTGGGTTCCTGCAGTTTTCCAGTGATTGTCCTGTGGTTGTCCCCTGCTTCTGTCCTATAGTAATCCCATGCATGTCACGTGGCTGTCGATCGATACATAGCGCGACTGGCAGAAGTTGGCACCAATTCGCCTGTAGGGAGATCCGCAGCTGATTGATAGAGAGAATAATGCATGCGAGAAAACACACATACATACATGCAGGCATACACGCAAACATACAGACATACACACATACATACATACATACATACATACATACATACATACATACATACATACATGCATGCATGCATACATACATACATGTATAGATAATATGTATGGTGATATACCTAACTACCTACCTACCGACCTACCGACCTACCGACCCACCTACCTACCTGACCTACCTGTCGGCCTACCTAACAACCTGCCTACACACATACATGCATGCATACATACATGCATACATGCATACATGCATGCATGCAATCATACATGCATGCATGCATACGTACATGCATGTATACATGGATGCATGTATACATATACATACATTCATACGTACGTGCACACATGCATACCTGAATGCATGCATGTGTGCATACATACATGTATGCATACCCAAACATACAGACAATCATGACTGCGTGAACTCATGTATGCATGCATACATGCATGCATCCGTGCATACGTATAAATACGAGCAAACAGACATACACACATACATACATGCATACATACGCACATACGTGCATACATATATACATATGTACTTACATACATACATACATACATACATACATACGTACGTACGTACGTACGTACGTACATACATACCGACATACCTACATACGGACAGGCATGCATGTTCATGCATATACGTACACATACGCACATGCATACATAGATACATGAGTACATACATGCCTGCATACAGACAAGTATGAATGCATACATACGTACATACAAAAATACACTCATACACACATGCATGCATGCATACATACATGCACGCATGCATGCATACGTACATACATGCCTACATACATGCATACATTTGTATATGTATATGCGTGCATATCTATATATATATATATATATACACACCTAGATACATACATACATATGTATAGTCATACATGCATACATGCATGCATGCATACATACATATATGCATACACACATACATATATACGTACATGCATGCAAGCATAATTACATGCATGCGTGCGTGCATACATGCACTCAGACATACACACACATGTATGCATAATGCAGACATCAAGAGATACATGCACATACACATGGTATTGTAGTAAGGACGGTACCAGCTTGATCGTATACATATAGATCCGCAATATGTGTGTGGGGGGTGCATGTATGATGTGGATGATAATACCAGTAGCTCGCGAGATCAGCAGATGGGAGCCCAGGCGGCAAGACCGATCGCTGGCCAGTAACATCGGAAGATTTCCCCCACAAACCTCCTCGTCACCCGAAGGGTGGTCCTATAGGTATACGTAGCAGAAGACCTTGGGAAAAGCAAGAGGTACCGATAGTGCTACTCTACGGGCCTCTCCTGGGGTGCGTTCTGAACAGAATTTCGAGGCGAATCCAGCGGTGGCTACGAGGGCCTTCCCGAAAGCCCAAACATGGGAAAACCTCCTCCTCCTCCTCCTCCTCCTCCTCCTCCTGCTCCTCCTCCTGCTCCTAACAAAGCGTAGCGGCATTTCCCTCCTCTGAGACCTGGGGTTAGACCGAAGTGGGAAGGAAGCACCCCCACAGGGAAGTCGGTGCCCGATTTCGGGTTGTCCAATGTTTGCCCCGCGACTATGTTGTCCTCGTCCCGCGGTGTTCTGTTGTTGCCTCGTGACTGTCTCGTTTGTCCTGTCGTTGTCCCATGGCCGCCTTGTATTACGCGGTTGCTTCACGGAATGTTTCGATGGTTGCTCCGATCGCTGTTCTTGTAATTGTTCAGTGGTGCTTATGTCATTGCCGTGTAGTTGCCTGCGGCCCAAGCTTGCTTCGATTGTTGTGTGTGATGTCTGTCCTGATGATAATGCCAATGGCTGCCTCGACATATTGTATTATGGTGATTTCAGTGGTTGTCGTCAAAATGGTTCAGGTGGTTGCCAATGCTTCCAATGGTTCTGGTGGTTGTCTTCCGAATGATTGTCTTCGAAATGGTTGCAGTGGTTCCGATGGTTTTCTTCAAAATGCATGCTGTTTGTTCTGCGATTGTTCCGTTGGATGGTTGGATGGTTGTTCCAAAAGGTGCTCTGATGGTTGTCTGGTGGTTGCCCTGTGGTTGCCATGATGGCTGCTCCTGGGTTGCTACGACATGGCCCGTTCTTCCCACCATGGCATGAGTTGGTTGAGCGACTGTACGATCAAAGAAAATACGAGATCTCAGAAGCAATCGAGAGCCAACGATCGATATATACATATATAGATATATATATATGTATGTATGTGGTTGTGATGCGATCGGTGGCTACAAATGGAAATCAATAAACATATACACTGTGAATCCGATCCGACGCCAACTGTAAATCGATCCGCAAACCGCAAACCCCCCCACACCAGTCTCCGAATCCATGGAATAATTGTCATTTAGATGTATATACATTTAGAGACAAAGAAAAAGAGCAAGAGAGAGAGAGAGAGAAAAAAAAAAAAGGGAGAGAACGAGGGAGAGAAAGAGAGAGGGACAGAACAAAGCAACGCAAAAAACAGAAAGCAACAACAGCACGCGTGGGTCGATGAGTGGCTAGCAGGGGCTGGCGACGCGAACGACATCAGCGGAACTGGAGCAAATCATGAGAATCTGCATCGGAACCATTGCGATGTTAGTTGAATGTTGGGAAGAATTACCCATCACGGGAAACGAGGAAGAGGACGCGCAACAATGGCTTGTCGTACAGTGGCATTCACAGCAGCATCCGACGTCGGCTTTGGAAGTGGCCCCGAATCCTTCTGGGCATTCTTCTTCTCGTCCTCCGCCTCGGCGGACTCCTTGGGAGGCACAGACGCTGCACGCTCCCTGGGCGGCGTTGACACCGGGTGGTCACTGCCGAGGAGAGGTGGGGCCAGGATGGCCGCCTGCAGTCGGACCTGGGCCAGCAGAACGTCCCTCGAGAGCACGAGACCCTCCGCCGCCGGCCAAGACACGCGTCCAGGGGTGCCCCCCCCAGGATGCACAGAAGCGCCCAACACAAACGAAGAACACCAGTGAGGGTGCCCTCCCAGAACCGACCTCGATCTCGTACCTCGGTCCCACTGGCACCATTTGGCGAAGAGCGGGGTGGGGAAGCGAGAAGGAGAAGGCCTTCTCGGAAGGCTCAAAGACCCCGGGCCTCCCGAGAAGTGCTCTGACCCTCCCCCGAAGAGACACAAAAAACTTCCGAGGAGGCGCGAGGACTTCTGGGAAGTCCCGCCGCCCTCTGAGAAGGCGCGAGGACTCCTGGGAAGTCCCACCCCTCGTCCTCCTGCCGCACCACGGGAAGAGGAGGAAGAGGAGGGGAGGAGGAGGAGGAGGAGGAGGAGGAGGAGGAGGGAGGAGGAGGAGAAGGAGGAGGAGGGAGGAGGCGGCGTGGGGGGAGCGGCCCTCCAAGCAGGCGGGGGAGGCCCTCTTGAAGGCGGGGGAGAGGCCAGTGAGCTTCCGGGAGGTCTGGCCAGAAGCCAGGAGAGGGCCCCCAAGAGGCCCCCCCTGCTCCTTCGAATGCCCCCGCCTTCTTCGAGGGCCGCCCTCCTCGCGTCATCCCCCCTCCTCCTCCTCCTCCTCCTCACTCCCTCTCCTCCTCCTCCTCCTCCCTCCTCCTCCCTCCCTCCCCTCCCCTCCCTCTCTCTTCCCTCCTCCCTCCCTCCCTCCCTCCCTCCCTCCCTCCCTCCTCCTCCTCTCTCCCTCCCTCCCTCCCTCCACTCCTCCCTCCCTCCTCCATCCTCCATCCTCATCCTTCGCCTGCCTGCTCCGACTCGCGCGCCAAGGTGACGCGAGAAGAGCGGGAGAACCGCGGGAAGGAGCAGCGCCAGTCCCAGAACCCTCCTCCACGCCCTCTCATGTAGGTCTCAGAAGATATTCGCGAACACACATGCCGCATTCATCTGTCAATGCCCGCCCCCCCCCCCCCAAAGATCAATGTGGGCGGGGGGTTGAATGAGCTGCACTTCGACCGCAGTCTTCCCCGCGCGTGCCAGCTCTGGAACTGGGGGAGGGGGGCGGTGTCCACGAATTGTTTCCTTCTGCCGTAGGCGAAGAGACCGAGTCTGCGAGCGCTGTTACGGGCAACCATGGGGGCCCAAAGAATATACACCACCACCACGTCGAATCCTCCTCTCTACTCTTTCCAGCGAGAGGGAGGGGGGGAGGGAGGTGGTGGTGGTGTATATTTCTGGGCCCCCGGAACCACACGCGAGCCCTATCCCTACAAGAAGAACAAACGACATGAACATAAACTTTTGGCGCTCCGGGCGGATTCCTTGGATCTGCGCTGGACCCCCCTGCCTGGCGCGCGGAGCGCGCCAGGGGCGGCGCCCCTGGCGCCGCCGGGGCGGCCCGGCGCGGATCCAAGAAATCCGCGCGGAGCGCCAAAAGTTTATGTTAATGCCGCTTGCTCTTCTTCGAATCCATGCAGGCCTGATTTCTGAACGAGGCGGGCCTCAGAGTGCGCAGCAAAACCTCCGCGGGGTCGTCCAGAACCCAAGCGACACCCGGACTCGCAGGGGCAGGATCTGTCAGCATCGAATCGGGAACTTTGGTTGAGTCGACACATGCGTCGGATCGGACGTGGTGCGACTGGACAGGTGGCCGTGGCAGAGCTCCTTACATCTGAAAGAAGGAAGATGTGCATAAATGTACACTTCCAGAAGTCCGAACGGATTTCATGGATTGGCGCTGGACCCCCTTCCCTGGCGTGCGGAGCGTGCCAGAGGCGACGCTGGAGGAACGCCCGGGGGGGGTCCAATCGTCCGAACATCCCCTCCCGGGGCCTTCAGCTTCTTTAGCCTGTTCAGCTCCCTCTGCAATTTCTGCAGCTCGCCGGTGGGAAGCTCCGACCTCTGGAAACTCGGCCCTCCTCCCTCTCTCCAGACTCGTCGTCATCGTCTTGACCTCTCCTCATTGTGCTTCAGTGTGTGTATGAGATCTGTACGAGTGTATGTAAATCCGACGCCATGCCTCGAGGCACGAAGTGGAGTGTTGCCTAGGCTTCTAGGGTTCTCGCATTCTGCATCTAGAACTGCAATCTTATGATATGATGGCCGTCGGCCCCTCCCGCCACCGTGCCTGGGTTGTAGTTCAGAGGCCTCTGGGATGCCTTAGGGGATCTCTTGGGAGGCCTCTCGCCAACCTCTCCTCCTCCTACTCCTCCTCCTCCTCCTCCTCCTCCTCCTCCGCCTTCTCCTCCTCCTCCTCCTCCTCCTCCTCCTCCTCCTCCTCCTCCTCCTCCTCCTTGGGGCCCGACTTGAGCCTCCTGGGGGCCTCCTGTTGTCGCTCGTGCGGGCCTCCTGGGGGCTGCTGGCGGTCTCGGGGGCCACCTTGGGGCGAAGGGCTCGAAACGTCAGCTCGAATTCTCCACCCCAGGGTTAGGTCGGGCACGTCCCCCTACAGGCGGATGTTGGACGAAAAAATCAACAACAACAACAACAACAACAACAAGAACAACAATCACTTTACCCGAACGCTCAGTGTTCTCACCAGTGCCAGGGTTTTCATGCGACGCCAGCCAATACCCCCACTTTGTGGGGGGGCAGTGCAAGCTCTACCAAATATCCACACGACTCTTCGCCACCACCCACACCCAGCTTCCCGCCCTATGACGTTCGGACACTTCACTTCGTGGCCTGCGGACGACCGTGGCTACTACACTGGCGTGGAGTACACACCCACAGAAGTTGTTAAGCCTACGTTCGTACACCCACAGAAGTTCTTAAGCCTTGTTAACCCACAGAAGTTGTTAAGCCTTCACAGAACATCTGTTGCATATGATGCATATGGTACATGATACACATGATACAACGGAAACCATTGGTTTTTTAGGATTCGGACAGCGCGCGCGGGTGGAAATTTTGAAAAGTCGTGCAGGTGTTTTTCGAGGACCTACGGTGCGATTCGTGTGATTTTATGATGCGCGGTGCTAAAATTCTTAAGAACCCAATGGTTTTTGGAGATTTCGGCGTGCGCGCGCGAAGAAAAAACGAATGTGTCCCGCATGGTATTATTTGACAGGGATGATGGCCCTGGCAGGTGCGCAACCGTTGTCGCAGAAGTTCGAAAAAGTTGCTCGCAAAAGCCCGTTTGACAGAATTGTTTAAAAAGTGTTGGTTTTCCTACGAATCCGCAAGAGCGCGCGGAAGGACATTTTGACAATTTTTTCTTAAAAAACCATTGGGTTTTTGATGTTTTTATGTTAAAATCGCTACGAAACCTAAGGTTTTGGAAGGATTTCGTCTTGCGCGCACGAATGTCCACTTTACCTTATTTTTTGCAAGGGATTCTTGCAATTTGATCAAGTAAGAACAAGAATTTTCATTTTATAGTGTTTTTTGCAAGGGAAAACGGATTACAACAAAACAACCGGATCCGGACACAATCCACTTTTCTGAAGCTTTCGCTAGAAAATGAAGGAAATGAGGCTGCGGCCTAGGTTTTGGAGGGGGGTCGCGCACCAGGGGTCTCAACAATAATATTTCTTTAGAAGTAATAATGTTCAACAACAACAACAACAACAACAACAACAACAACAACAACGACGACGACGACGACGACGACGACGACGACGACGACAACAACAACAACAACAACAACAACAACCACCACCACCACCACCACGACGACGACGACGACGACGACGACGACGACGACGACAACAACAACAACAACAACAACAACAACAACACCAACAACAACAACAACAAAAACTCAAAACATACCCCAAAAGAGTTGTTAAAAAATGCTCCAAAAAAAATCGTCCCCTGACTGTTTGTTTCACTATGTTTTAATATTTCTCCTGTAGAGAGACACGCCCGACTGAACCCTAGGGCCTCTCTTGGCCCCCCCCCGCCCCGGTCCACTAACCGGAACTGCCGCCACCCAAAAAACACCAGCTACGGCAGACCTGGTTTAGTGATTCTGGCCCCTGTACACGTCGGTCGGAAGAAGTAGGTAGAAACATGAAGTAGGAAGGCGGATATAGTAGATTGGGTCCAGGTCCTCCCAGAGAATAACAAAACACAGCAAAAGCGTGTCGATTCTTCAAGTAGGAAGGCGCTTGAAGTAGATTGGGATCTGGGAATCCCCCCCCAAAAAAAAACTACTTTCAACGACCGGCGAGGAAGGGCCCTGGGGCTCCACTGCCGACCGTGTCCCCCGTTACCTGGGGCCCCGGCCATGCCCGACAGGGGCGCATCCCGTGCAGCGTCGCAGCCCAGATCCGCTCCGGATGGGCCCCCCCCGTTGGGGCCCCACGGGGCCACGAAACGCGTGAGGGGTGTGCCGGAACGGTCATGCGGAGGGCAGGGGCAGGCATGGGAGGAGGGTGGAGAGCGGAGGGTTGAGGAGGACGCGCAGGGGTGCGAGGAGGGAGGAGGACGGGGCGGAGGGGCGGGGAGCCGCATGCGAGTCCAGCCACTACGGCTTGAGGAAGCTCCCTATGGGCACAAAACGTGTAATGGGTGTGCCGAAACGGTCGTGCAGAGGGCAGAGGCAGGGATGGGAGCAGGGAGGAGAGGGGAGGGTTGAGGAGGACGCGCAGGGGTGGGAGAGGAGCGGGACGAGGAAGGAGCGGATGGGGCGGGGAGCCGCATGCGAGTCCAGCCGGTAAGGCTTCATGTGCAGCTCCATATGGGGCCACGGAGCGTGTGAGGTGTGTGCCGACATGGGCGGAGAACCTGCTATAGCTGGATCCAGGGCCTATTCCTCCTACTGCACCTCGATCAAGTTCTCATAGAATCCCACTGTCGCTGGATCCCACTTTAGTAACATCCTAGTCGGGCTCGATCCAACTCTCATCGAATCCTACTGTCGCCGGGCCCAACTCTAATAGCATCCTAGTCGGGCGCGGATCAACCCGAACAAATTCTACGATAGCTGCATCCAGCCCTACGTGAATCCTACAAGAGCTCGACCCAGCTCTAATAGAATGCTACGACAGCGCTAATTGAAGTATTCGAGGGCTCGATCCAGCTCTTATAGAAGCTTCCGATGGCTCGACCCAGCCATCAAACATCCTACTTCGTC